CTCTCCTCTCCTATTCTGCCCTTCCACCAGTTCAGAGCCACTGGGCATGGTGCTGGGGGCTCACAGGAGGACAGAGCGCTTGGACTCCTCTCCCTGTTCCTGGGAGCACCATCCAGCTCCCAAAAATAGCACGCAGACATGGAGGATGGAGGAGGGCTTTCAGCCAGCCCAGAGGACACCACCACACCAGTGGCTCAAAGGCAGGACCTGATGCAGAGGAAAGAGGTGGGCTGAGACTGGAGGCTGCAGAATGGGAGAGGGTCAAGAACCTGGCAGGGCAAGGGTCCCAGAATGTCTTGAAACACCTGTGTCCTCACACCCAAGTCCCACCCCCTTCCACAGGCAGCTTTCTAGCCTAACACATTCACAGCCAAGAGATCAGGGTCACCTTTCTTGGAGAGTGAAGCAAAGACAATAGAAGGCAAAAAGCATACTGACCTTGGGGTCAAAAAATCTGGGCTTAAAACACAAATTTTGCTGTGTGGCCTTATTTAAGTCACCTAGCCTCTCTGACTTCAGTTAACCAACTATAAAACAGAAGAGCCTTGAGTTCTGTCCTTGTAGAAACAGTCTCCGAGTTTCTGAGAAACACAGGCCCCACCCCTCAGTCCTTGTCCCCAGCATTTGACTGGGATTTTCCTGAGCCAACAGCTGTTAGCCCACCAGGACAACGGGGGTAAGGGGATGGGGAGAGAGCAGGAGGAGTGGAAGTGGCGGGCAGAAAGTAGGAGGCAGCAGGCAACCTGATCCTCTCAGATTCCACTTTCGCAGAGAGAAGGAAGATTCGCCCTCTAAGACATGGGTCAGAAAAGGAATTTGGGAGGGCAGGTAGCTTCCTGGCTACAGCAGGCCAGGAATGTGCTCTGAAATTCCTTACACACCAGGCAACCCCCTCCCCGAATAGTCTTCAGCCTGCCCAAGAGAAACTAGAAACCAAGTGAATCTTTCTCTACCACTCCTGGGCACAGAGCAAGGCCTGTCCCAAGATGGGGTGTTGGGGTGGGGTGGGACAAGGGTTACACTTACAAGGACCCAGGTTAAACCCTTTAATGCCAACCAGCTGAGCTCACACCCAAGGAGAGGTTCTCCCAGTGAGGCCTTTCCCCATCTGCCCCTCAAGTGCAGCTCAGTTCAGGGTCCTCTCTGGGAGGGAATGGCACTGAGTCAGTGGCATCAAATGGAGTTCCTGCCTCCGCCTGGAGAGGCGCTGCAGTGGACCCTGCACATCTGGTGGTTCTCAGTGCTTCCAGGACAGTTTCTGAGTTCCTGGCCTTGAGAATATGACCAGGGGACTCACCTGACTGACAGGGCTGCAGTCTCACTCTGCTCTCTGGGACTCAAGAAGGACCTGCATGGAGAGCTATAGGTGACCCTCAGCCTGGAACAAGCAATTTGGGGGAGTCCCTATTGGTTAGAGCCTCATTGTATTTAGAGCAGGCAGAGGCCTAGCAAATATTTAGCCCACTCTACAGATGAGAAAACTGAGGCCTGGAGAGGGAAAGTGCCTCACCCAAGAGTACACAACTCTACATCTTTAGTGGCAGGTCCAGGACTCCGACCCTGGTCTCCAATGGCCACATGGGATTCTCTCTCTCTGCTCTATTGTACCAATCTTGGAGCCCAGTCCTGGCAACCCCTCCTCTGAAGTGTGACTTCCACCAGGAGGGGCCATGGACTTCTGCAGACACAGGCAGACTCTGGGTAAAGATGCCAGGGCCCAAGACCCTCACATCTCCCCGTCCATTCTCTGTTCTCCTCTTCCCCAGAGCCCTGCCCGAGCCTTACCTCAGAACAGCAGCTGCCGACAGATCCTGGAGGCGTCTGCTCAGCCTCGGCAGGGACTGGGTGAGGCAGAGGATGGAGAGGGCTTTAAGCAGGCATGTGGGCTGGGGCCTGGTGAGCCAGCCCTGCGGAGGGAGGAATGCACGACAGGGGATGGGTGGGGCAGGGGGATGGCGGTGGGGGTGGGGGGTGTTGGCTGCTATTTTGGCAGGTGCCAGGGACAAGGCTACAGGAACATGTACCCCACGCCATATAAGCCCATGTGGTCCTCCAGCTGCTCAGATAAGCTATTTAAAACCAGAGCAGATATGCAGGGAACAGTCATGCAACATAAACCAGCTGTCCCTCTTGAGAATCCTGATAAAGCAGAGGCCAGAAACCCAGGCCTGGGAGGGCTGGCTGGGAACAGGGTTGGAGGGCAGAAGGTAACCTCCAAGACACTCCGTAAGTCTCAGCACCAGAATCTTGGAAGGCAGAGGGCAAGAGCTATGTGCTGCTCCACTTGAACCGATGCTGGGGGTGAAGACACCTTCCAGGCTACCAGCTCCTAATGGGCTGAGCAGCCTTGGGCAGGTGGCCGGCTCTGCCAGCCTCCGTGAGGGCATCTGCAAGGTGGGTCTTCTCCATGACCCCCAAAGCCATGTGGCACACCCTCCTCACAGGGAATGGACTTAAACCGCTATGGGCAGCCAAATACAAGGTAGAACTTCCAGTCAAGAACCTTGAACAGGCGGCTCGTTGTGCGAGAGGGGTGATGTGGACTCTTGAAGGTCATCCCTTAACGGCTTTAAAATCAAACAGTGCCGGACTATGACCTGCTAAACCTGCTAGACTGCAGATGCATGTGTCAGGCCCCGGGCTTTCGCTTGCTTGCCTGTGTCTGACCATGCACATGCACTTGTACGTTCAGGGCTGGCCCATTGCAGGGTTCGGTAGATTATGAAAATGAAAGAGACAGGAGGAAAGCAAGCCAGTGGGCAGCTGAGCTGACTCTCCCCTCCATCTCACTCTGAATCTTCACGGCCTAGGTCCTGCTTGACTCTGAAGCAGGAATGGTCCTCCTCTGGACCAGGCCCTCCCCTCCCCCATGACCCCCCTGGCACTTAAAGATCTTGCCCATTCATGATCCACACTCCTCTGTTTCTCTGTGGGCGAGGAAAGCAATCTCGCTATTCTCTGCCCTCTTCTCCCATCACCCAGTCATGTGTCCCACCTTCCCAGTCCTCAAACTCTTCTCTCAAACCCTCTATCTTGGGAGTTACTATGCTGCCTCCACCACTAATGTCCTTGAAAAGGTCCTCTGCACAGGGAACTTGCATTTGCTCCATACCCATGCTGCTGTTAGACTTTTGTCCCATCACTCAGCTGACTTTGTCCCCTCCATAGTTCCCTGTGGCCTCTGAGTCCGGTGGCCTTGATTGCCCAGCTCCAGGCTTATCCCCTGCCACGTGGGTCTCCACACTGCCAGCAGACCTGAGGCAGGGCAAGCGGAAGCCAACCGCCTGCTGGCCAGCATCATGGGACTGAGGAGGACCACAGGGAAGCAGGGAGACTTTGTAGAGAGACAGGCAGATGGAGGGGAGAGATTCCCGAGGGATGGTGAGGAAGGAGCCAGGCCATCCAGAAGAAAGTGGGAGGAGCCCCATCATCTCTCTATCCCAGTCTAGCCCGTGAAGCAGGGCCTAGCCTTGCCTCGGGTCCTGGCCTGGAATAACGTAGAATTTGGAATTACTTTTCCCAAACCCCTTTTTAACTTGAGGGTGGGTTACTGTTCCTTGTAAGCCCAATAAACTTTCAAACAGGCCACAGTTTATTTGCATCGATGCCTAGAAGAGAGGTCTGGGCACCTAGATCACTACAGAGCCCCATGGGAAAAGCCCAGTAGATCCTTGGTGTCACAGGCCACACCTGTACGGCTTCGAATTGTTCTAAGGCAGGAGCTTCGTTCAGAGCGCTGTGAGACAGCTACTCAGATGAGGAAATCCAGCCCCCATGCAGCAGCCACTCCTGGGCATAGCACGGTTACTCTCAGCCCACTTTTTTGATATCCCTGCAAAGGGATGTAAAGAGAAAACAAAGCCAGAGTGGAATGGGAAGCTTATGCTGAAACAGGGCATGTAAATTTGAGGATCCACAACAGGACAGGCCACTTGTGGGGTCACAGGGCCCCTACGGCAAGAGAGCAGGAGGGTACGGCCAGGAGTGGTGAGTGGGAGCCCTGTTGTCTCCAGAGGGTGCCCAATGTCACCCGTCCAGAGGCCTCCCCACCTGCCTGGACATCCAGTCACTACCACTCATCTATCCCCAGCCGAGGTCATCTTGGGCACACCCTGGTCTCCTTGTTTACTGGCTGCGTCTGCAATAGGAACAAGGGCAGGGCCCTCCCGTATTGGATTCACAGGGGAGGGGGCTGTGCTGTGGCACCCCCTGACATTTCCCCTAGCAGCCAGCCCTCACTGGGCACTCCAGGGGAAGGGGGTGCAGGCATGAAGGGCCCTGCTGAGGCTGCAGCTGCAGGAACAGGCCCCTCAGTGTCTTACTCCAGGGTGGGGCCCTGCCGGGGGAAGGCTTCCAGGAGGCTCTCCTGACTCTGGGTGGGGACAGTTTCGTTTACTGGAAAAGTTCACCTATCATGGCATGAACATGTGAAAGTCCTCTGAGGTCATCTGCTTGAGATTCAGAGAAGGGAAATGGCTCAAGGGTCACACCTGAGGTCTGGGCAGAGTCAGAGCCGTTAAGATGTCCTGAGGCTCCAGGCAGGACTCACTCCATTCCTCGGCCCTGTCCACCCTTGTCCTCCAACTCTTAGCTGTGAAGTTGGAACACTCACAAAGCCCCAGCACTAGCAGTGGGTGGGGGGTGCTCAGGACAGGGCCCCCAGGTCCCTATGTCCCTTACTCGGGCACAGGAGACTCACTGGCCAGAGGTGGGCCAGCCTGGGGCACTGGGACCTCTGCACAGATGGCACTTTGAGGGCCTGTCCCCTGGGGCAGATCTGCGGAGCCCTCACCCAGAGTCACAGAGCAGGGGTAGGGCTGATACCCCACACACCTGGGGAACTGGACTGATGATACCCTAAGGAGCAGTGTTAAGGGTGGTGTTCCAAAAAGACCTGGAGCTTCCCCAGGCATGCAAAGGGGGAGTGGGCAGGGGGCTCTGCACCTGGCCGCATCCCCAGCTGATTCTGGGTAAAACTAGAGCAGTCAATCAAGACAGAGTTCTAATGATTTAAACTTTTGAAAAGTTGTAAACCACAGCTTTAAGGGGTTAACAGGGCACCAGGCTGATGTTCCTAGCTTGTTCCGTTCTAGATTCTCCGATGGTTCATTCTCCAAGCTCATAGGGGCCATGATGTCCGAGCATGGGGGTGGGGGCTGGAGGGGGCTTGTGGAGGAAGAGGGTAGGCCTGGCCCTGTATGTGGCAGTTCCCCAGTCACCAAGCTAGGACTGCTGAGTGGCGAGCCACCACCTTAATGTGAGAAGAGGGGAGATGAGGAAAATGATGATCCTCCTCACACACTTCAGATGACCTCTGCTAGAAAGCAAGGCCTCTAGAGAGGAATTCGCTTTTCAGGTCTCATCAGTCACTTACACCTGAGAGTGAATGAATTTATCAGATCCTTCCTGAGAATAGGATTTTCAGAGAAAGGGGAAGTGGTTGCACACAAAAAGGCACTTAACTCCCGGCCAGGGCAGCAGGCCAGGGAAGGGAGGGGAGAACCAAGCAGGGAGATGCCACGGGGAAGATGCATGGCAGCTCCTTCCCCATCTGGCCAGAGTGGGCCTCGGTGGCTGGGAGCAGGCCCCAGGGACAAAGATGAGTGGGTCCAGGCCTCAGTGAAGGGGGACATCACAGACACAGAGGCAGTTGCTGGGAGCAGATGAGACAGGTGACTCTGGAGTTCTTGAGGGATGCCGTGCCCTGACCCTGGATGTGAGCAGGAAGGAGCAGAGTTCTCTGGGCAGGACGTAGGCCCCATAGTGCTGATGTGCACCTGTGCTGTGCCCTGGGCAGAGGCTGGGTCCCAGCATCTGTTGTGCCTGCTGCAGGGTGAGAAGGTCCCAGCCCCAAGAGGCTGGGCTGGGAAGGAACTGGCTGAGTCTTGCAAATATTCCTGACCCCAGCGCCCTGGCCAAACAGATTCAGAGGCAAAAAGGGAACAGAGGCAATGAGAGGAAGAGGTGCTGCTGTGAGAGGCAGAGGCCTGGCATGAGGGAGGCCCCTTGAGATGAAGACTTGCAGGTCTGTCTTGGCAGGGCTTGTCACACCTGTGGGGCAAAGAGCTGTTAGCACAAGGCAATGGGGTGCTCAGGGATGGAAGGGGAAGGGGGCCACTGGATAGGAAGGCATCTCTTTGCCCAAGCCCCACACCCACAATAAGTCAGAGCCCTGCAATCTGCCAGCTGAAGGGACAGAGGCTCTGAGAGCTGCAGGCAGCAAAACCAGCTGAGGGCTCAACCTTGTTCTCACGGTTGGCTCAGACCAATCTGCATGAGCAGGGATGGGGGCGTTCTGCGTAGACTGTGCGATCGCAGGCCAGTTCATATGTACACACGGGGGCGATGGGGTCTCCCACAGTGCACTATGGCCCTCTGTTGTAGGGCCAGGCCCCTCCCCACCATTCACCTCAGCGTCCAGCGAGGAGTCAGATTTCTGTCCCCACTGAGTCCTCTTGGTAGCAGACGACGCTTTCTGTGCCTCCTGATTGAGGGTATCAGGGTGGAGATCAGGGACTAAGACCAGGCTCCAAAGGGCTCGGGATCCCCCAGGCCCAGCTCCCAGCCCAGGATGTCCTTTCTCTTCCCATAAGAGAAAAGGAACCCAGACCCACCCCTCCTCTCTGCCAGAGTCTGACCCACATACCCATCCATCCCCTACTGTTTCCACTCCTGAAATGACTCCTCATCTCCCACTGTCCCTCTTCTGTCCCCAATCATCCCACCGCAATGGCCCCACAGTAAGAGACATCAGAGAGGGCCAGGGTACCTGGGGGTCCTGATCTCCAGACTCTTGGGTCCTGCTGATCCACAGGTTGAGTCTTGATGTTACAACCCCTGAGAGCCTCAAGTTCTCCTAAAAAGAGAACCTTCTATCTCAGGGTTTGGGGCCCTTGGCAGCAGCGAGGCATGTTCAGAGGCCCTGGAATGGGATAGGACTCTCCCTCACTCCCATATGCATCCAGCATGTGCCACATATACCTGGGACAGCCCCCTCCCCTTCTCCCAGGGAGCTGTGTGCCCAGCTAAGGAGATGGGCTCAGGAACGTGAATGGGAACTCAAGTGAAGGTTCTGCCAACATTAATTGACACATGAAAACACAGTTTTCCAGCACTGCCACAGCCAAGATTTGGGTTTTGGAGATGTCAGGGCTAATCACCCTAAGGACCCTGGTGGGGCCTGAGCCCCTCACCTTCCGGCTGGAGGCTGGTTCTGCTCGGCTCTGGCCCACCAGTTCCTTCTCAAAGAGGTGACGCTTGCTGGCTACACCCACAGGAGCCACGAATAACTCAGTGCGAGGGGAACCCGGAGACTTGACAGATTCTGATCTCTGGGAACCAAGAACACCAACAGCTGACCCACGCTGAGGAGGAGCAAGGGCCATGCCCACCACTCATCCTGCCCTCCACCCCTCGGGAGAAGCCCCCACCCACCCGTATGGCTGTGTGGTATCTCTCCAGCTTCTCTCCCAACTTCACTGTGTTGGCTGGGAGCTTCATACTGGCACTGCAGGATGGAAGATGGAACAGGCGAGCCAAGTGAGACACCCAGGCAGACGAGGCCTGCCCCCATGGCCTGAGAAGCAGCCCCATCACACTTTCTCTTTGTGGCCAAGAAAAACGTGGCCCTCCATCACACAGCAGGCTGTGCTGACTCGGCCAAGGTGAGGAACTTACAGACTCCAAGGATTTCCCTCCACTCCCGAGAAACGTCCCATACAACAGCACATCGCCAAGATGTCCCTCCTTCCCTTCTCCTCCATACCTTGTCATTTCTACTGCAAAACACCTCCCGAAGCAGGCCCTTCCTTTCCATCTTCCCCATCACAGCAATCGCCACCTACCTGCTCTCCCGGCCTGCCATCATGAGCTCTCCACATGGCTGCTCCTACCTCAAATCTAATCCTGTCCTTCCAGCTCGGACCCCGCAGGCCTTGGCACAGCACACAAGGCTCTAGTGATCTGGGCCCTCCCCTTCCCTCCCCAACAGTATGCCTGTGTGCTGGCCAGCTGGACACCATGCTCTTCACTCTGCCTTTTCACATGCTGTTCCCTCTATTTAAAACACTATTCCTCCAGTTTTACACGTGCAAACTTCCTACTAGTTCATGGAAAATCGATTGCTCCATGACACCTTCCCCAGCTCTCACAGGCTGAGCAGGTGCAGCTACTCCTGAGCTCCTAGCCCTGGGCTCATATTCCTGTGTCCCTGTCCCTCCTTGGTTGGCCAGTATGTAATGGTATCATGTTTGAGAGAACTGCTATAGGTTCGCTGGGTGGGTATGAGTTGCTTGAGGACAGCAGCTGTGTCATTTGTCTTTGCATTCCTCCTCCTCCACCCCAAGCCTAGCCTAGTGTAGTAGGCTCCAGTAAATGTTCATGGGGCAGATGAATACAGCATGAGTGGATGACATTCCTAACACACAAGCATATCTGCTTCTCAGATCCTATTTCAGTTTTGCTTTTTTATTTCAAAGCATAGTCCTCAGGCTACTTGCATCAACACCACTGAGCCCAGGAATCCTTGTTAAACCTGCAGATCCACAGCCCCCCAACCAGGCCTGCTGGAGCAGGGGCTTCCCCTCCCTTACACTGTCTGTGGTCTCCCTCCCAGAAAGCCCCCTTTCCCTCTCCTAACCTCAAGGCTAAACCCTTAATCCCCTTTTGGGGCCCCACCCAAGCCCTACCTCCTCCGAGCAGCTCTCCCTGATCCCTCCCCCTCCTTGTTCCATCTCATCCCAACTGAGTCCATCCTGTTAATCCCATCCCCCTGCCAGATCTGGAGCCCTGGGCAAGGACTGCACCTTCCTTTCATGTACCCTACTGCACAGCCTGGCACAAGGAGGGCAGGTGCAGGTACTCAGAAAATAGCCTGAATATGGCCAAATAGGAAAGAACCAGAGCCTCCAGGCCGCCCACCTGCGAGTTAGGGTTGTTTCTGAGTTGTCTTTCTTGGGGTTCATCTGAAATGAGAAGGAAAGGCATTGGTGTATGGGAGTCCCCGGGAAATTGGTGGCCCCCTCGAGTGAGGACAGACATGTCCTCCTCCTCTTCAGACCTCCCACCCCTTCTACCAGGGGTCAACCCCCACCAAAGAAATATGTGGACAAGCCTTCGTTAAAGATCATTGTTTGTATCTGGAAGATACAGGTTCCCACCCACTAATATGGGTCAGAAGTCTTTCTTCAGGCTTCCTTCTCAGGGCACCTGTAACCACCTATTTCCTATCTGCCTCCCACTGCCCATGAGCTCTGTGGGGGCACCAGTCACTATCGGGCCACCTCTCCAGGGCCTGGCACACATTAGAGGCGTGATACAAAATGATTGAGTGAATGACCCAGTGAACAGAAGAACTAAGAACAAACACCAGGGCAAAACAAGATGAGATTTCCCCAATCCACATAGTTTGTTCTATTGGGACACTGGCAGAGCAGGGAGAACTAGGAGACCCTTGCTGCTCTCTGTTCCTCCCCTCCCCTCCTAGACAAGTCTCCTAGGTGAGGCCAGGAACTGATGAAGGCAGGTGTGGACCTCCCTGCAGCCCAGGACCTGCCCTGCCTGTCGGGTCTTCATGCAGCCCTGGCCTTACCCACTAGGTGGGGCTACTCATGCTTATTGGAACCTACCTCCCAGGTCACTAACCTGCTCTTCTCTGCTGAATACAGCCTTGTCTGTTCAGGGCCACCCACGGGAATCCAAAGCCCATCTCTATCCAGAGGAGCTTCCTACCTAACCTATGGCTTCTATGTTGTAATGGATGCGGGCTTCCTCCACTTGCCCTCCACAGGCTCGCAGACCAAGGTGCCCAGCATTCTCACCCGAAAGGAGATGGTCCTGGGGCTGGAGCGTTTGAGGGAGCTGCTATAGGTTCGCTGTGTGGGTGAGGACATATCTGCCTCTTCCTCCTTGCTGGGGATTTTCACCTGGATGGAGCAGGGGGAGCATCACACAAGAGGTCTAGGGCCCACCAGGCCAGGGCAGCCATAGACCCCATGGCTCACCCCAGGAGCTACAGGAAGAGGGGAGAGTGGGACAGCCCTGTGCCTTCTCTCCTGCCTCCTTCATCTGCTGTGGGAGTAGCTCACGGACAAAGTCCCTTGGGGCTAGGGCACCAGGCAGACCTTTCTAGGGGAGCTTCTAGAAGGATCTGAGGCTTCCCATTAGTCTGCCAGGGTCCTGGAGCCCGGGCCCTGGATGAGGATATGGTGGAGGGCACCAGCTGCTCCCTGCCCCACAGCTGGTGCCCCTTTAAGCTCCAGCAGCCTGCCCCATCTCAGCCTCCCTGCTCTGACCGTGGTTAGAAACAGGCAGGGAGAGAAGAGACTTCCAAGGCCAGCCTGCAGGTGGGAGGATGGAGGGAGCCAGGGAACCAGGGACTACCTGGGTGAGACTGGCCGGCAGGGCCAGCCGGGTGGCAGAGTAGAAGGGTGGGAGGGGCGGGACACTGCCAACCTGGAGTGTGATGGGTGGAAGGCGGGAGGCCACAGTCGGAGGGTCTGAAGCCCCCTGCTCTGTCAAGGAGGGCAGGTTCTTCCCAGGGAGGGCCCTTCCTCTTTGCTCCTTGGTGGTGGCTGGGCTTCCTCCAGAGGCTGGCAGCTCCTGCGCCAGGGGCTGCTCTGAGGCTGTGGCCCTCTTTGGGGCCGGCTTGGCATCTGCAGTTGGGCTCTTCTCTGAGGACAGTGCCTTCTCGAAGATGGATGCTTTCTCAGACACCAGCCTTCTTCCTGAGCCCAGTGCCATCCCTGGGGCTGGCGACTTCTCGGAGACACTCGATTTTTCTAGAACAGACTTTTTCTCTGAGCTGTTTCTTTTCTCTGACACTATCTTCTCTGATAGGGATGTCTTCTCCGAGGCCAGCACCTTCTCGGAGATGGAGGTTTTCTCGGAGACCAGACTCTTTTCAGGTGCCGTCTTCCCGGGCATGGATGATTTCTCCAAGACTGGGGACTTCTCTGGAACCCCTTTCTTCCTCCCTCCTGGCTCCCTGCCCGTCAAGCTCTCCTCCTCCAGGGCCCAGGGGCCCCGCTGTTCCCGACTCAGTCTCCGGCGAGGTGGGATTTCCAGTTCCTTCTTGGGGACTAGGGGTTGCTGTGTGGCCTGCCCAGGGCTCAAGCTGTCCCTCCCCTCCTCTGCCTCCAGCCTCTCCCGGATGGGGGCCTGTGCAGCCTCCACCACCTGCCGCCTCTGCCTCCGCTCCTGCCGTGTTCTGAGGATGCTCTGGATGTCCTCACCCTCATCTTTGGAGGCTGGGGGCAGTGGCTTGGGCACCTCTGCTTCTTCCACGCTCGGTAGTCTGAGTCAGAAGATGGGAGACAGAATCAGAGGATAGAGGTGGAAGACACCCTAAGTATACCTAACCCAATGGAGATGCTGCCAGGGCCACCAAGGAGGAGGTGAGGAAGTCAGGCCCTGGCCTCCCTGGCTCACCACCACCTTTATCCACTCGATATATTGCACTTCCAAGGTATCATCTGAACAAAGCACTCTATGCTTTTTAAAAAGTTTATAAATTCCTATGAAGTCCAACAACTCCATGTTCAGACATAGTCAACAGACCCTGAATAACTAATTTAATATGGGCCAGAGCCTGTGCGGGGCATTGGGGATCAAAAGGAATAAGCATAGTCGCTGCCCCTTAGATCTTAGATCAAGACTAAAGATGTCCAGGGATTTGTTCAAGGTCACACAGCTAATTGGTGGGGGAGCTGGGAGCAGAACCTAAGGCTTCTGATGTACCATTCCACACTCCTGTCAGTTTTGTGGGTGCAGCCGAGACTAGGTGACAGCCACAGGTACTTGTGCAGCCCAGCTCTGGACATCCTCCAAAGTCTGGGGCCAGGCAAGGCTAGGGGAGGGGGGAGGGGAGGAGAGAGGGGAAGGGGGGGGGGGGGGGGGGGGGGGGGGGGGGGAGGGGGGGAGGGAAGGGAGGGGAGGGGAGGGGAGATCAACACAGCCCTGTTCTCCCTTCTCAGGGACCCGAAGAAACAAAAGCAACATGAGAGGATTGTCCAAAACCCTTAGCACCCGGCCTCCAGCAAAAGGAGATTCTTTTCCTTCCTCACCACCCTGCTCTCCATGTGCTTTCAGGCAAGTTAGCTTACTGTCTGGGCCTCAGTTTTCAAATCTGCAAATTGGGCTTGTTAGGAAGCAAAATGAGACTCGTGAGGGTGCCCAGCACAGTCCTGGCATATAGGTGGCATTCAGTAAACCCCAGGCTCTTCCCCACCTCATAATCCCAAAATCTAGATGGCAAAACTAGCCCCAGGGTTCTTCTCCTCAGAAGTAAATTATAGGCCAGGAGCAGTGGCTCACACCTGTAATCCCAGCACTTTGGGAGGCTGAGGCAGGTGGATCACCTGAGGTCAGGAGTTCAAGACCAGCCTGGTCAACATGTCGAAACCCCATCTCTACTAAAAATA